GTATTGACAAGTTCGAATTGGTATCCAACTGGGCATTGGAGTCAAGTAAACCAATTTTGAAATAAATTTTTGTAATGTGTTGGTGATAATTTTAAATTTTGTTGAGAGGAACCGAAGAACCGATGATTTTTCACTTCGGATATCGGTTCGGTTCTGGATATCCGAAAATTTTCTAAGAACCGACACCCCTAGGCATTCCTTTACTTTGCCAACACAAGCAACTTCTCAATTCATATATCGGATCCTGGCCTCGATAACCATAAATTTAAGTCTTGGCTTATCTATAGATTCCTAGCGGAGAGTTTCCTAACATCTCTTGTTTTATCAAAAACCTCAAAATAAACCATCCTTCATTACTTCCAAAATTTACGTTACCAGGTTTATTAGAAATGCCTCTATGCCTTACTATAAAAATCACCATTAGTATCACAATTACATAATATTAAATTTTTATTTAAATTTATATTTAAGATGGCATGGGCAAATACTTTAAAAGTTGGTTGTGGCCTCGCTTACTGTCCTAACAGTACATATAAAACTCATATTTTCTGTCAATACAGTCCACCGTATGTTGTTTGGATTCATATTAAAATTTAATTTTTTTTTAATTTAGCGGAAACTATATGGGACAAAAAATTTATGAGCCTGGACCAGTTTGTAGTGGTTGTAATGTTGTCAATGGACAATTGCAGTGCCAATATGGACTTTGTATTTGAGATGAAGCTATAAAATGAATTTAATAGTTATTTTGATAGATGACAGATACGTAAATAAAGCTTATTTTTATTGTAATACCGTAAATTTTCTGATAGGCTTACCCTATATCTTTGTATGATGCTTATGATAAAATTGAAAATTTGACTTAATTTTTGTTGGATAAACTTGAAGTTTTTAACAAAGATTATGGAATTGTTTATTATTTTAAATATTAAAAATTTTAATATTTATTGTCGTATTTTAAGATAAAAATGTTTCAGGCAAATATAACTTGAGACAAATTTATTTTAATAAAATTTGAATTTTAATTTATAAACCCGGAAATAGACGCAACTAAAGGAATATTAATTTTCAAAAAATCTTTTTTTAATTATATTTTATCAAAAATATAGGCATTTTTCATAAAAAATGAAATTTATTTATTTAATTTTTATATATTTATCACAATGATTCAGTTTTCAATAAGTTGTAGTTATAGGTGTAGTTGATGTTTTGTGGTGATGTCCATGATGGTGATTGCCGTGATGGTGATGCCCATTAAATCCAGCATGTCTTTGGGGTCTTGCACCTGACGGAATTTGTCCTCTCTGTCCTCCGAAATTTCCTCCTTCCAAGCCTCCTCTATTAAATTCTCCTCCGACTGGACCTCCTCCAAATCCTCTTCCTGTGTTTCCTCCTTCCAATCCACCTCCATTATTAAATTTTCCTCCAGTTCCTTCACTTCCAATTCCACCATTTCCTCGTCTTCTTTCTCCTTCTCTTCCATTAAAACCTCCATTAAATCCATCACCTCCTAGTCCTCTTTTAAATCGTCCACCTTCTTGAAAGTTCGGTACATCTCTATTTTCTTCTTCATTTAGTCCTCCTCTAAATTGATCATCTCCTCCCAATTCCCTTTATCCCTCACTTCCAATCCCTCTATTAAATCCCCTTCCTCTTTCTCCTTTACCTTTTTCTTGTCCTCTTCCAAATCTTGTCCTCTTCCAAATCTAAGATGGGTTGAATAATACAAAAATCGGTTAGATTCGGAATTCTAAAAATTGTAAAGCTGAATCCTCGCAGTCAAGACATTCTGTGTCGCTGCAAAGATTAAATCAAATGGTCACAACCTTGTTGATTTAAGCTGATTTCCTTAAGTGTAGTACCAAGAACTTTTTCGAATGATATATAAATGCGAAAAAATGAACAGATGTCTTAAATTAAATCAGGAAAAACTTGGAGGGGGGGGGTCTAAAGCAAACTATTACCAAAAATGTTCAGACTTGAAATACTGTTTCATTATAATAGAATAGCTGACATTCTATTCTTCGATGTCGAGAAAAAGGTGCAACCTTGAAAGCAACCATTGCTTAGGTTCTAAAAATTTCTTGACAAGTTTCATAACCTAAGCAATTCAGGAAAAAATACACCTTATTAATAAAGTACTAAAATATCTTTCTATTGCAAAAACATTATTATCCCTAGTAATGCCAAATTTTCAAATAAAATGAAATTTTTAAAATATCCTTCAATCAAAACAATTAAAAAAACCAAAAAAATTGTTTGTAAATCCAACAAACTAAACAAAATTCTTTTTAAGACTATCATGCCGCATCTTGGTATTTCTTGACAATACTTTTAATACTGCTTAACCCAACTAAAACAATTGTTAAAAATCATCTTTTTTCTATAAATTTTAAGCAAACCCGGTAAATAATCTTCCAACATTTCCAACTCTGATATATTTAATTTATTAATCTTTAACAGCAAAAACTCGAATAATTCAACAAGTATCCTCTTCTTAGTCTCAAAATATTGCCCCAACTAAAACAAAAATTTTTTTATAAAAATTTTATTTTAATTAGTCAAAAATAAATTTTAAATATTATGTAAAATAATTATTTAAATACTTGGGCAAAACTGTCTTCATTTTTTCCTCTTGGCGGCCAATAATCAACTTGTGAAACTCTCTTAAAATTAAAAGATACGAGACTACAGTCTAGTTGTCTACTTTATAGACTACTTACTAAGGTTATGTCTTTGGCAATGGATGGAATAAAAGTCAGTCCGGAAAATCCATAAAAACGATCTTAAAATTCTTCAAGTTTCTGTTTAGGAAAAACTCCCCAACATGGCTATCATACGAAAATACTTGAATCATATACATATATTTCAAAGGTCTCTTCAAGCTTAGTCGAGCTATACCAAAATCTCCGTGATTTAACAGGCTATTTAATTCCTAAGGCTATGCAGTAGGCGACGTGGTGTAATGGCTAACACATTATTCCAGTCTACTGAAGATGCTGGTTTCGCACCTAGCCGCCGATTTAAAAAATTTGTATAAAAATTTCAGATTAATTGGACAACCAGAACCAAAAAACAGAAAAAACTAGGTGGTTTTATAATTTCTTAACACACTGTACTTGATTGTTTGTTTTAGCTCTTTACCCTTGGTTTCCGTTTTTTTCTGCTGCGTCGACGTTTTGCCTAGCAAACGTTGGCTCGCGTGCACAAACTTCTCGCCGACTTCCATAGGTTTACTTGGTTTTATTTTTGTATTGTAATATTCTATCATTTTCCATCTCATTCTACTCCGATTTCCGGCGTTTTTTTCTTTATAATTTCCAATTTCCGAAAAAAATTTTGATTTCCGATTTCCGAGTTCCGACTTTTGAGCCAGTTCCGATTTCCGGCGCTTCCGATTTCCGACACTTCGGACTGTTCCGACCCATCTCTGATGCTCAATCACATTCTACTCAGCTCGCCGAGCTCTTTTGTAAAACATATAATGCACGCATTTTTTTGTTTGATAGCCATATTCGAGAACTTTTCCTCTTCTTTTAACAACATTAAAATTTCAAAAAAAACTTACTATCAAAAAGACCGCTTACCCCAATCATCTCATATTTTTTAAATCGCAATTCAGGCTTCTGTAGCATTTTTATATTAGATATAATATCATGAATCAAAGTAACAACCTTCTGTCTCAACTAAAAATTATTATTTTTTAATTTTTAATTATACTCATGAAAGCTTTATTTAGTTTTGTTGGCATTCGACTCGTCAGTTTGCCGGGCTGACCGGCCTCTAAGTCTGTGTGTTTCAGTTGGTATGGTTCTGTAATTCTATATAAACCTCGGTTCAGTTCCAATAGTCTAATATAGGACGGAGTAAGGACCCAATTTCCCCTCCATCGAGGGATTTGAAGGGGAAATCGGGTGACGTAAGCGTGATATCGAGGCTAGAAATAAAATATTTCAACAAAAACAAATAATAAAACAAACAAAACATTTCTTCAAAATGTTTGTCATGTTAACAAAAACTTTTCTAAAAATTACACAAACAAATCCACAACTTACCAAAATCAAAGAAAGTATCCATTTTCGCTGATATTTAATAACAAAAATATCAAATAATTTGGAAATTCTAATTTTACTCCATTTTATATTAAAAGGGATAAATTGGATTAATTCTGAAATTAATTCTTTTGGCAATTTTTGTTTTAATTTTGTTTTATTTCTCATTTTTTATTGAAAAATATAAGGCAGAATGTCAGCAAAAGCAGGAACAATCCATACTTATTGTAAAACAGTCCTCCTCTTTCCCTTCATTGTTTCAGATAGAACAATTATTTATTGTTAGCAAACAAAAACATTTGCATAATTGTTATAAAAACATTCAATCAAACATTCAAAACATATAAACAACATATTTTATTTTATGTTTGTGAAAATGTTTTGTTTGTTCTAACATGTTTTTGCCTCAATAAAACATTGTTCCCGGAAAACATGTTTATGTTTGTGAAAATGTTTTGTTTGTTCTAACAAATGTTTTGTCCTAAAAAAATGTTTTTCGAAATGTTTTTAAGAACTTTAGGGTTAGTAGAAGGTAGTAAACATGTTGAGTACAATGCAAAATTAATTTGAAATTTACTGGAGAAACCCGATTTTTTATTTTAAAATTAATTAATCCAAGTTTGATCAAAAATTAATTTATAAAACTTAACTCGACAAATTTTATTTAAATTAAAGAAAAATTTTGTCAAATAAATATAGGAGGTTTTTGCAAATTTTCAGTTTGTTTTTTTTAACGATTGTAGATTTATTTAAGAAGAAAAGAATTTTTAGAAAGGCAGAAAGAAAAGAATGAAGAAAGAGAAAATTCTAAAAATGGCAAAACTGAAAATTGCAAATACCCAAACAAACATAAAATTTAATTTTTCATCAAATATTTTATATACAAGGCAAATTAAATTGTTTGTATTTCATCCAAAAAATACTTTAAAATTTCTATAATCAACAAGATCAAAAATATTTAATTTCTCCACTTACAATTTCTTTAACGTGAAATAAAATAACTAAAAAAAACTTTAAAATTAATTTTAATTGAATCTTTGTCCAACTTTTTAACGAACCAACCAAAAAACAAAGCTCTGTAGCATTATATAATGTATTAACCTTATCGGGAAAAAAATTTAAAAAATCAACTATTATGTCCCTTTTGAGCATCAAAGTGGCTTTTAACTAAAAGTTGGAAAAAATGTTTACATTAAATTTTTATGGCAAACCAAGGTTTAGGTTCCCCCCTTTTTTCTTTCTAAGTTTTTTCATTGGGTTGGGGTCGTTTTGGCGCGCTGTTTTGGCGCGCTGTTTTGGCGCGAGAACAGGTGAGACCTAACTTTAGGTGAGACCTAACTTCATAAAAATTTTCTCAAATTTCTTTAGCATCCATGGCTACCTCCTCCACAAAATTCAGAATTTTTCATCAAATATTTCTGAAGTTATAGTCGATAAACCGCGAAAAATTAGGGTTTTTTCGGAAAATCAACATTTTTGGCCATAATTTCTAAAATTTTTGCTCAAAAATTCTGAAATTTTTGGAGAATCTAGATAATGGTACGAGAGTTATTATTGTAAAATTTTATCATTTTTAATAATCAACTCGCTATCTTATAAGCTCGCGCCAAAACGGCCCCGCGCCAAAACGTCATATAACGCATAGTCAGACATTCTCCCTGTCCCATGTTCACGATGCGGCATATTCAACGAAAAAAAGTTAATGAAAGATTATTTTTAAATAGTCTGAGCCGCGAGTCTATTTCAGCAAATGTGTAAGTCTGACCATTCTGTACACCTAAAGAAAAAACCTGGGAAAGAAAAAGGAGTCTACACCATGGTAATGTTTACAAACTTGTTCAGGTGTACTATTATCTGGTTTACAAACAGCAGGCCAATTTTCAATATTCCTCACTTTCTTAAAAAATATCAATTAAATTATTTAGCTTTGACTACTTGCCTCGTTTATCTCATTACTAAACGAAGTCATACCTTCACTAAAACCTCGTAACTCGTTAAAAATCCCTTTAAAAATTTTATAAAATTTACATTAAAACAATTTTGCAAAAAATTTTATAAAAAAATTTTTTGCCTAAAAATTTTCTAAATTTTGAAAATTTTGCCCAATTTTTACTAAATTTTCCAAAAAATGCTGAAATATGAACCAAAATATGTAAAATTAGCTTAAATATGAACCGATATGCAAATATGCGCGAAAGGGTCGAAATATGCAAAAATATGCATTAAGATCGGGTCCTAAAGTGTATTTTCATATTCAAAACACCCATTTCTGGCTTCCCATATCCAGGCATATCCACAGGCAAAACGAGCATTTGCATGTTTTGCCCAACCCTGAGAATAACTAACCACTAAAACGCCCAGAAATATTGAGTAAAATATATTTAGTATATTCTTTTGGAGTTTTAAAATTTCTCAATTCATTTTGAATTTCACCAATAAATTGAACGATTTGTTGCCTCTGCTAAAAATATTTTAATTTTTAGAATTTTTTTGTTTAAATATTTTAAATTAGCATATTGCGAAAATACAAATAAGTAACACATCCAACGAAACCATTTTAGACATAGGAATGTTTTCCGGAAAAACACATCATTTTTATTAAAATATACACAAAAACATTCCAATTACACAAACAAATCCACAACTTACCAAAATCAAAGAAAGTATCCATTTTCGCTGATATTTAATAACAAAAATATCAAATAATTTGGAGATTCGGTAATTTTGAACTTCGTACCCCCCCTCTTTTTTTGTTTTAAAAGTATATAAAATGGTCAGTCTTAAGATGAATATAGAACACAACGAGCTTTGTCGAACGACACCAAAATCAAAAAAATCCGACTTGATTTGACCTAGATACAGACCCCTGAAAATTGAACAACCACAGGGTCGAAAAACCAAAAGAACGAAAAAGTATACAAATGATAGCTCATTCGAAAGAGCTCGTCGAGCTGAGTCGAATGACACCAAAATCGACGTGATCCGACTTGATTTGACGAAGATATGACATAAATCATCGACTCCGTTAGGTCTAAATAATGTCATAACTTTGTCATAGTTCGTCTAATCACGTTGATTTTGTTGTCATTCGACTCAGCTCGAAGAGCTCTTTCGAATGAGCTATAATTTGCTCAAATTTTTTTAATTTAAAAAAATCACCCCTGTGGTTGTTCAGTTTTCAGGGGTCTGTATCTCGGTCAAATCAAATCGGATTTCCTTAATTTTGGTGTCTTTCGACACTGCTCGTTGTGTTCTATATTCATCTTAAGACTGACCATTTTTAATACTTTTAAAACAAAAAAAGGGGGGGGGGTACGAAGTTCAAAATTACCGGAGATTCTAATTTTACTCCATTTTATATTAAAAGGGATAAATTGGATTAATTCTGAAATTAATTCTTTTGGCAATTTTTGTTTTAATTTTGTTTTATTTTTCATTTTTTATTGAAAAATATGAGGTAGAATATCAGGAAAAGTAGAAACAATCCATGACCCCGTCCCAACACCACTTCATTGTTTTAGAAAAGAACAAAGCACCTTAAAACACTCAATCAAACACAAAAACATACATTCATTACCCACACTTTATTTTTGTAAAAATGTTTTTGTTTCGGTAAATGTTTTGTATTTAATAAAACATTCCGGAAAACATTGTTTCTATAAACAAAACCGTGTCACGACACTTGCAGATCCGACTTTTGCAGATTAGACCCAGTTCGCTCTCTTCTTTACCTTACTTATACACCGTGGAGTGTTTGCTGCTGCGGAGGAATCCTGGGATGCCCATCTCAGCGATGATAGGAATAAGATCATGTTACGAGCCCAGAGACCGTTGACTCCCCGCGAGGCGCTTCTGCAAAACCCCGCGCGAAGCGCGGGGTTTTTTTGCACAAGCGCCTCGCCGACACTCCATAGGTCTACGTTGAACATTTTGAACCTCCGGAAAAAAGAGTGGTGCCGTTCGACTCAGCTCGTCAAGACGAATTGGTATGGGTCTTATATCAAAACCTTTCCACTGGTATACTATACTGTATCCTTTGATTTTTTAAGATTTTTAAATTTTTTTTTCAAAAATTAATATCTGCAAATGTCATATCTGCAAGTGTCGTATGACCAACAAAACAATTCAATGAAACAAACTAATGTCTATCTTATCCTACAAAACATTAGGGAAACATTTATTAAATTCAAAACATTTATGCATGTGATGTTTTGTTTGTTTACAACAAATGTTTTTGTGTATATTTTAAATAAAAAAAGTTTTCCGAAAACATCGTTTTTGAACGTGTTTTTATGTTTCAATTTTCTGGAAACAAATAAACTTGTTTTGTAGAAAGTTTTTATTTGTTTTACTTGTATTTATGTAAGTTTCACAGGTTTTAAAAACATTTTGTTCGCAAAGAAATTTTTTCACACAAACATTATTTTAAATAAGAATAAACTTACAGTCTGAGGTTGTGCGGAATTCATGATATGAAGAAAATTAAAAAAAATTAATAAGAAAATACTAATTAAATTACGAACACTGAAAAATTGTTATTAATTCACAAAAAAGGAAGAAAAACGAAAAAATTGAATGAACTCAAAAACACCGACAGAAAAGTACTGGTTATCGAGGCCGGTATCAGGGTTAGCGTCAGATATGGATGGAATAAAGATTATATAAATTAGAGACAGTATTAGTAGAGGTCGGCTAAATGGAAAAATAAAATATTTGATCAAATATCAAATTTCTATAAAAATTTTTGAAGCACCATATACTGTGTTTATTCTAATAGAACCACTATGGTTCTATTTTTCAACCCTTCGATTTTTGTGGTTATATGTATCTGAGATTTGGTTTTATTTTTCAATCAAATTTTTTGAAAAATCGGCAAAATTTCGAGAATTTTAATAATTTTTTCCTACGGTGCTGAAAACGAAAGAAATCTGGCTTCATTTCATAGGAACTTTCAAAAAAGTTTGCCTGCGGCGCCCATAGGGAATTTTTGTCTTCATGTCGTCCCAAAAAACAACAATTTTAAAAAAATGTCGAGGTGGATATCAAAAATCTGATATTAGAGAGATATTGAGAGACTAGTAGAAAATGTGATATCAGGAAATGAGACTTTTAATCACCAAATTATGGAATTAGCAGGGATATCCTTGATTTTTGAAATATCAGTTAGTATATTTGAGTGAATTTTTTAATTAAGGGTGTTTAACGGGATTAAGGGGAAGATCAATTGATTTGAACGGATACGTATATTCAGGCAACGTTGAACAAAGTCGGTTATTAAACGGTCCCCCGGTTAACGTTTAAACAGGTTTTTAGACCGGTTAATAGAAAACACATGGTTTACTAGTGATGCTCGGGAGGAAAAAAAAAACTCGGGAATCGAAAAACGGGAGTCGGGTCGGGAAATGACCTCGGGAGTCGGGATCGGGAGTCGGGAATTGGCAATAAAGAAATTTTTTGGCACTTCGCTCCAAAAAATTTCGGTTTTTTGCATTGAAACTGAAAATTATGAGAATTTTGGAAGTTAAGAAGCCAGATATCTTCTGTTTTCAGCGCCGCAGGCAAAAATTTTGAGACGTGGAGGTCGTAAGCAAAAAAATCAGTTTTTCGAGCTCCATATTCCTCCCTCTCCTTATTTCGCCAATTTTGTGGCAGGGGTGGGGGGTGGGGGTTGACTTGAACTTTTCACTCTTTAATCTTTCGATATCTCTCTAATCTCAAATTCTTTGTCTGCGCCGCAGGCGCAATTTTTGAAAATTTTGGAAGATCCTTAAGCCAGATTTTTTCATTTTTTGCGCCGCAGGCAAAAATTTTGAAAATTACGAGAGATCCTTAAGCCAGAAATCTTCATTTTTGCTATTTATAAAATAGTAACCATTTTTTAATAAAAAAAAGTTGTTCTAAATAATTGATTCTAAACATAAAGACTTTATTCTGAACTAAATTTTTACCTATTTATTAAATAAACGTTCGAACCTCACATTTTTTCCCTTGCCCAAAAGTATGAAACCGGCACACTATCTTTCGAAATGGTACACCCCTGGTCAACCAACAACCTTTTTAAGAGAGAAAAGAAAATGTTCCTTACCCGTCACAACTTTGTCTTATTTTTTCTATCCCGCCTACCTTATCTTACCCAAAAATAACTGTCATTA